AAAACCCTAAAACTATCAGCATTACATTTGTTTAGTCTTTTTTATGGTAGTGGGAAAAGAACTCAGGGCCTTTGCACAGAGTTACATTCCTACCTCTTTTTAAAGAAAGACATTTTTTTTTTAATATTGAGACAAGTTCTAGTTAAACTGCTAAGTTGCTCAAGCTGGGCTGGAACTTGCAATCTTCTAGCCTTAGCCTCCCAGAGTTCTAGGAATACAGGCATGTATTACCACTAGTATTACATTTTGAAGACTACATGATTAAGAGCTAGTTGATGATGTCATCATTCGTTCAATATTTATCAGGTGCTTAGCACAACCATAAACTGTTCTCATGTCAGGTTTCTGTACAGGATGTTAGAAGAAAAGGATGGAATGAACAAAGATTGTGGGTCCAAGAGAAAAGGGGTCTTTGTACGCTGAATCTAGGACTGAGTTATGGAATTGGGCAGAACAATAGAAATAAGTTTAGGGGAGTCCGGAACAGAGAGGACGTGCACCTTGCTTTCCTGAGAAGGCTTCTGGATTTAGTAATATCCAGGGGGGTGATGGGGAGATGTGTTTAGCTAGTGACATTCAGAAGATTCTGTTGTCCAGCAAGCTGCAAGAGCAGCATGATGTGCCCAGGAAAAGTATGGAAATAGGCAAGTTCTAGGTAGTTCCATAGAGAGAAGTGTAACCAAGCTGGGAAGGAAGGGGCAGAGTGGTCTCCTTATGAAAACGTGAGTGCACCAGAGGCATGAAAGAAGGAGAGAGAGAGAGAGAGAGAGAGAGAGAGAGAGAGAGAGAGAGAGAGAGAGAGAGAAACTAGACTTAATGAAGCTTGGTGGTTAAGACTGAGGTAAAATTCAAGAGCCCTCTTTGAGGCCTGATAACAGCAAGCCAGTTAGGGTTGCAGATGCTATAGCAGAAGGGCCTGAGGACATATGATAAACCAGAGGACCAGATTCTTTGCTCTTTCTCACTCTCAATTCTGACAGCTCAGCAGCATCATATTTCTCCTTGAAACCTGGATGAAAAGTTTGGAGAAAAGATCGAGAATGCACTAAAAGGAATGCACTAAAAGGAATGAATGATGTAATGTTAGCTGAATTATAGGAAATTACAATCAGCTGTACTTCTTGCATTCCTGAGTATGTTGCCTGAAATTTGGAAGCATTACAGACTTTTAGGAGGTAGTGGGGTTAAGAGAATCCTTTTTAGAGGAGACAATCTCTAACCTGGGATATAAATAGTGAATCAGAATGGACCAGATGGACTAGGGTATTAACAGGAACTGCAAAGTGCAAGTGGCAAGGTATTCTCTGCAAAAGGAACAGGTTCATCAAAGGCCCTGGGGTCTGAAACCGCCAAGGGTACTCGCGAGAAGTGTTACCATGCAGCATTTTTGGAGATTGAGCACAGAGTGTGAAGAGAGTAGTGAGTCTGAGAGGCAAGTCTGGAGGGAAAGGGTCAAAACAGATCCATTTATATTATGCCAAATGAGAGGTTTGTCTCGTCAATAAACTTCATACACTTTGTTTTGTCGATACAAGGTCCTACCAAGAACAGAACAATTTCCAATTACTTATCCTTCCCAGTAGGTCTGATCTCACAATTTAACTTTCCACATAAGATGAGATCACAGATATGAGATTCACCAGTGATTTTAAACTAGTATGCTTCATTGAGCATCTTTCTAACAATAATTCATGACCACTAGATTGTCTTCTTTTAACACGTCTAAAATATTTTTATGTAGTCCTTGATTGTGTCTAGCCTAGATTCTGTATTTGTTACTTAGAAATTGTTATGGTTACTTATTTTAATTACTGCAAAATCTCTTGCAAATAGCACTAAACCTCTTCTCAGATGAGTTTTACCCAGAGCATTTGGATTTATTTTACAGTGACAGAGAATAATGAAACTATTTTTTGAACACTCAGATAACAACAGTAAGTGTTCAGAGAGTAATTTTCAGCTTGACCTTTATAATTATTCTCTGATAGGGGAAGGGCAGAATGTGACATTACTTTACTGATAATTTTGGAGGTCCTGGGCCCTCCTACTGCTCCCATTTGTTTATCATGTAATAACCAGACTGGCCATCTTTCTTCAAATGTTACAAACTTCCTCTTACCCCAGGGCCTTAGGACTAACTAATCTATTTTTGTTATTCTTTCCATTCTCCTAACATAATGAAATCACCTGTATTTGTAAATATTTACAATCTTTTAAAATGATCACCTCTGGAATGTACTTATTTTTTGATACTACTATTACACTTTTTTTTGAGACAGGATCTCACTATATAGTTCAGGCTTATGTAGTTCAGGCTGACCTCATACTCCAGGTGATCCTCCTACCTCAGCCTCCCAAGTGCTGGGATTACAGGCGTGCACCACCATGTCCAGTTTATAATTACACTCTTGTGCAAACAATTTTTGGGCTTACCTTTAGAACTTGTTTATGAGTCATATTTGGAAATCCATTGTGTTAACTTATATTCACGCTTCATTTTTGATTTCAAGTGGTAATGCCGAGTTTTTTTTTTTTTGGTACCGGGGATCGAACTCGAGTCCTTGCACTGCACAGCAGGCAGCAAAACCACTGAGCTAAATCCCCAGCCCTGTAATACCTAGTTTTATACTATTAGGCTTTGAATGATATTTAACCATTTCCAGAAATTAAACCCATCTCTAAGAGAGGAAGGACAACTGTTGAACATCTTCAGAGGAATGAAGCATGGATTCTGAAGGTGATGGAAGTGAACCTCTAGAACGTTTTTAGACAAAGGCAATATTGTTGGAATAAATGTGTACTCTTCTAAAGTAGCTCATTTGAATGTTTGCATATATTTGCCAGAAAGAAGCTTCACTATTTTAAAGTCCTATTTGATAGGCTCATTGATGACCACTTAAAATAACTATTTTTACACAAATGTATTGTCAGTAAAATCAAAACATTCTACACACACATGCACCCTAAAATAGGCTATGATGGTGAGATATGAGTCTGACTATGGAGCTCAGTAAGTTCAAAACTGAACCATTTAGATGACTGCATCTTGATTTCATCTAGTAGAAAACAAAACCAGGGTAATAATTCTTTAGGCATTATAGACACATCAAGATAAGGGGCTATATGTACCTCTTGAGGAAATATTACCTTTGTGGTCTGTAAGATATTTTAACTTCAAAGTTATGTGCTCTCTACCTACAAATAGAAAAGAAATCAAAGTAGTGATCCTGAAAAAGTTAGTTTAATTTTACCTTTATTTGAGTAACTGTAAATAATATTAATTTGAGCAAATCAATAAAAACAGAAGACTTCTACATTTTATTATTCTCACATAGGTGATAGAAGCAAAAATTCAAATCAACATTACAACAAATTATTCAAAGAGAATATTCATCAAGCAACATTATCAAAGGCGAGAGAACATGATTTGGTTTGGTTTGTCCAACTCCAGTATCTGGGACTTGCAGGCATTGGAAAACAACCTGTACTCTGGGGTTTCATTTACTGTTATTTCATGCTGCTCCTAAGTTTGGTAATACTACCTTAAACACTGGAATTTCAGTGAAGAATGATGAATGGGAGACTATGTCTGAATAGCTTAGGATAAAGTGAAATATTTTCCCAGAAAAAATGTTCCAGGACAGAAGATACTTATTTTTAAGTTCATCTAATTATCAACTGAAGTCTTGAAGCCTCAAAATTAAGATTTGCCTAGCAAATCTAATTGAATCTTGGCAAAGTCAGTGGTCTTGTAATATTTGCTGATAGCAAACTGCACAAGTTAACTAGATACACACACATTGCACACATTTTAAAATCCCCATTTACAAGCTCCTGCTTGTTCTCTTCATAAAAATTTTGAAACTTTTATTGTTTTGAGGAAATAATCAATATGGATTTTCTCTTTGAGATTTATTTGGTCATTTCTCAGTATATTTTCACTCATCTGTTCTCCCCAGAATGCTCAATATCATTAGTGTTCTTTCTCCTCGTGAAAGCTCATTCAAATAACGGGACCAACTGGCTGGCTTTGACACATCATCAATTATCATATTATAAGGGGGGGATATCTGAGGACAGTGCAGCAAATTACCTTAATTCAAAAACACATGCCAAATATGTTGTAGATTATTTTTTCCTTCATGTCAGTGGAGATTATATATAAACATAAGTACTTTTATTTAGCCAAGAGGCTAAAGATTTATAAAGAGCACTAGTGTGGAATTTTGGTTTGAATTTCTGGACAATTACCAAATTGTTATATTGCACACAGAAATTAATTCCTTTGTATTAGCTTCCTTTGGGTTCAGCTGTACATGTTGCTACTAAAAATGATACAAGTAATATAAATATATATATTTTTCATCAATTTTATTGGCTTATTTTAGGTATACAATATGCTGACATTCATTTTTTTTTGTTTTTGTTTGGTACTGGGGATCAAACTCGGGACCTTATGCTTTTGAGGCAGGCGGTGGAACCACTGAGCTAAATCCCTGGCCCCTGATAATTGAGAATTTATACCTTTACATAATGAAATATATTTTGATTATTATTACTGCTTATTTATGATCTCTTAAAAAATCAGACAAAATTCTCATTTGATTAAAAAAGAATGCAAGAAAAATATGGAAACAAAGCTTTTGTAAATGGAGAGGGGATGCAGGATTGAAGGGAGGGGAGGGAAATAGGAAAAAAAGAATTAAGACATATTATGTACATGTACAAATTCCCTATGACAAATGCGATCAATATGTATAGCATGTACTAATAAACAAAAATTATCATTTAAGATATCTCTAAGGAAAAGATTTTAAAAATGTATAGGTGCTAGAATGACTGCATTTATCAATACCTTAAAACACGAGCACTTGTCACATAACTAAAAGAAAACAGGAGCATGTTCAATAAACAAAAATTGAGAAATATGTTTATCATTTTAAAAATATGCTTAAAAAATCAATGCACTTGAAAGTGTTTTTTAAAAAATTTTTGCTGAACTAATCAAATAGTCTTCTAAGAAAAGATTTTTTGGCAGGAGTCAAGACTTTCCCAGAGCCTTTTTTGCAGACAGGTTTCATTGGAGGCTTTTTTAAGGGTAAGACTCTTTTTGGAGTTTGCAGTGCTCTTGCTACCGCCACATGCTCATTACAGTAATACTTGTTGCTCCCTTCTGACAAATGGATGAGTGTGCGTTCTGCTAGATCCATGCATTGGGCATGAACCCAGTGGCCATCTCCATGAGAACAATAAATCATGGCAGGTTTGTTGAGCTCAGTTGAATAGAATGGTACCCAAGTGTTGATATCCACGCCACAAGTAGGGCAGCATGTTATCCAGTAGCCTGTCACAGACTCATCTTCTTCATCATCTTCATTATAGGTGTCAAATTCATCATCACCATCAAAACTATTCGCTTCTGCACTGAAACAAAATTCTTCTGAATCTTCAAAGGGAGTAGAGTCTCCTGGATCTTCTGTTGATGTCTGACTGTTTGTGAATGTTTTCTGATCTTCATTCATATCATCTTCAGAGCATTTCAACATATAAAAATAGAATGCTTCAGAAACAGCCTGTTTATTGTCTCCTGGTATGCCAAGGAAAACAGTTCCATTCCCCATGTTATTTCCAAACCATATCTTGCTGTGCTTAATATCTGGGGTCCAATCTGGGGTTTCCATCTCACAGATTTTTATCTTGTTATCTTCTAAAGAGACAATGTTGCAGACCATTCTCTTTTGATTTTCAAGCTGATAGCCACCAACAATAACAAATTCGTCACTGTTAGTTTGAGTCAGGATTGCACTGGAGACAGAGACTCCCCCTGGCAAGACTGTGCAATTCACAGCTGGGCTTCCCAAGGGGAGATCAACCCTTATTCTGTACAGGTTGGCCGGGCGGATGTTACTGGCAAGTGAATGTCCTCCTAAAATATAAACGGTATCATTTTTGGCAATAGAGACATGAAAAGATAGTCCATCCTGAAGTTCTGGAAGAACATGCGATGTAGCACATCCAAATTCAAAATCCACCAAGAAAACATGGGGGAAGCAATCTGCTACACTATTCCACTTTTCTGTGGTTCTTTGGGTAGAAGGCATGTACGACCGTCCTCCAAAGAGCACTCCCATACTTTTCCCTCGACTGTACACCACATCAATGGAATGACCATATCTGGCTTCAGGAACATCTCCTACCAAGTCTTTCTCCGTGCAGCGGAAAGTAACTCTTTTGTTGTTCTTGTAAACAATAGACATGACATACATCTTATCTGAAAGCTCATTGTTTGGTGTTTTCCCTCCATGGATGATATATTCATACTTCTCAGACGCCAAGCTGCCTTTCAACGTGCAAGTAGCTGGGTAGCGAAGAGGAGGAAGGTAGCAGGAATCTTTAGAGAAAATTGCAGGCTTCAGTTTGAGATGGTTATGCTTCACATCAAAATGGAAAACCCCAGTGGGGCAGGATCTCTTCGGCCAGCCTTTCTGACCAAAGAAAAAAACTTGCCCATCAAAATTCATAAGTGAGAAGCCTGGTTGAATTAAGGCTATATTATTACCGACCGTTACCATCTGCAGTGACATATTTTCCAATGGTCAGTAGATCTTTTATCTGAAAGAATTATAAAATAAAAAGATTTACACTCTCTCGTCGCATAAATCACTATGCCCAGATGCCTTCACATGCAAAAAGGCGTGTTTAAAAAAAAGTCCTCCCACAAGTTTACAATAGGACCAGATGAACAAAATTCAGGGAGTTAGGTATGCAAAAGGGACCCAGAACCTTCTTACCTAATACAATCCAAGCAGCTGGGACATATTTTGGAGCTGGACTATTCGCCCTTAGACTTCTGGGAAATATAGTTCTTTTCCTCTAAGAATCCACACACGTTAGAGGAAAGAACTACATTTCCCAGAAATCCTTTCTGTACAACCCAGTAGCTATGGTAATTGTTTTTGTTGCTCCAAAACGGGAGATTTCTGGGATGGCTCTCTGAATAAGGACGCCAAAAGTGCGAAGTGACTAGATGTGAGTCGAGGCTCAGACCACTGGTTCATGGGAGGGGAGAGGTTGGCACACATCCAACCAACCTTGAGTTACGAGAAGGCTGCAACACCGGGATGGGTGTCGGGCAAACCCACGTCCTGGAATTGCCTGATCCTTCCCCGGAGACTCTTAGAAACAGGTGACCCAGCAGGAGGCAAAGTTGCTTCTGGCCCGAGTATGGTTGCCTGGAAACCGCACAGTAAAGGGACCCCGAGACGGAGGTGTCAGTACGACTCCTGCCTGGACGCTTTGGGCTGGGCTCAGAATTACACTCTCGAGGGTGCTTGGGTTGCTAAGGCAGGGGGGCTAAAGGGGCCGTGGAGGTTACACAAACTGTGATGATCTTAGAGAACCAGACACCTGGCGTGCAGGGGAGAAATTGGCTGATAGGGATTTTACTATTCTGCATTTAGTAATGGAAATGTACTAATTAGATTTCTGCTGGTACCATCGTAAAGGCCCCTAGTTTCCTTAGCTGCCTTTTCTCCTGCTTTTAGAATTCTTTTAGGGAGGCAGAGAAGGTTCCTAAACACATCTCCCCCTTCCTCTTTCTAGGAAGATAGTCTTAGTAGATTTTATTTCAAATCTCTTTCCAGCTCATGAACTTTGCGGTAATTCTTTAGTAATTAGTAATTCTTTAGTAATCTAGCAAGCAGGCACTAAGCAAAAAGGTGCTAGAATTGTTCAGGATTGCATGTTTGTATTATGACATTTAAAACGACACTAGAAGTAAATTTGATAACTTCTAATTTTATGATTGCTATCTCACGTATAAAGATGTAAAAATATATTTCTTGTTTGCCAGGGAAATTTTAGGCACCAAAAGTTAAGGGAAACACAGTAACACAGATTCCTTTGACTTTTAGAGTAAATAGTTAATATACTTAAAAGCAGAATTGCTCGACTGGCTAGATACAGTGCCAGCTCTGTCACTTACTACGTGACTGGCTAGATTCATATCCCAGCTCTGCCGCTTACTAGCTCAATGACTTTGGGCAAGTTATTTAACCTCTCTGTGCCTCAGTTTTCTCATATGTAAAATGGATAATTATGCCTACTTCATAGGTTGATGTCAGTGATGAATTATATGTCAATTATACATGTAAAGCACTTAGAGCAAGCTTCCCACCCTATATGAAAGTTATTATTATGATTAGGCCTGACTTTATCAAAAGCAAGACTGTTAGAGCACAATTGTCCGGCATTAATGACAACGGATACACAATTGGAAATGGTTAGAAGGGGCTTTAGCGTATTGGAATGTGATCAGTGGATATAAACTTTTGAACTAATGAACTGGATAAATATATATGCTGAGGGTGCTGCTGCTGAGTTAATGTAAATAACAAGAGATATTTTATTATTTTTGTCATGTCTCTAACCCTTCATTAATATGCAGGATCTAAAGTTAGATTTTCTGAGTACAAATCTGGGGCTCTACTAGTTGTTGTGTTACCTTGGGCAAGTTGTTTTCTCTCTGTCTATCTGCAAAATGAAGGTAATATTGGTACCTATCCATTGGATTGTTTTGGGAAATAAATGAGATAACACATGCAAACCACAAAGAAAGTGATTATCGTTGGCACTATAAGGTGGTTTTATTGCTTGGACCATTCTGAATCTGTCGTCATTCTAATGAGATGTTGTTGTTTTTTATTTTCATTGTTTGCCTGGAAGCCTTTTGTAGATTGGATGTCATTAATTGCTAGACATTCTCTTGTACTTAATAAATTTTTTAGTTTACTTTAAGAGGTTCCTCAAGGTATGATCTTTTACTAATATCCTTGTGGGTTATTAAATCAAGTGAGGAAGTGGTGCCTTAGAGGTATTATTGCCAAGTCTAGGAAAGCAAGCTTTTCTCTTCCCCAGTCCATCGTCATTTGTAAATTCAGCAGTTAACCCTGCTTGTGAAATGACCTAGCCAAGTGGTTTGTTTTTTGGTGGTCTATCCAGGTATACGTAAGAGAAGGCATCCCAACAAGTAAGAAAATTCTATCCATAGGCACTAAAAGAAAATATTATTGATCCACAATTCAGTAAATGAAAACTGTAGGTGATTACACTCGGCATGTTACGTGATTATTTATTTTCAGAGAGTCGCTCCATTTTGGGTAAAGGGACCTCTGTTGCCAAAGCTTGCTTATTTTTAAACACCTATAAAGACTGATGATATTGGGATATTTTGCTTTACTTACTTATGTTTTCAAATAGAGACCATAGTATTTCTTTCATGATTTTAGTATAACCGTATTAGTTTTATCTTAGTTATAAAAAAGTTTAAAAAAGATTATACTAGATCTAAAATAACCTACTGAAGAGTTTTTCTTTAAATAGACTAGACAAAAAGAGGCAGATTTTTAAAAATAAGACACTGTTCTTCAACTGAGGGAAATTTCAAAGTCAACGCATTAAAGATTCTTTTTAAAAGGCAGAGATATAGGACCGACACACTTACTCAATTTTCCCAACCCCATGCTAACATTCCTCAGCAGGGAGATTTTCATTTATTCACTTTGAAGCCAGGGCATAGTTGAGTATCAAAAGAGGACTAATGGTGTAACGTCTGGGTTTGTAGTTTCCTGGCTCTGAACTCACTTATGTTTTCTTTCCAAAGAAAGTTAGGGTACTCTGAGGCATTAAATCTTACTGATCAGTGCTCCTATGTTTCCTGATTGCTCCAAAATAGCAAGTAACCTCATGTACAAGGCATCTAGTGCCTCATAACTGCAGGCATTTGGTGTGTGAGTTAACACTATTTTGTATGGTTAATCAGGTTTGAGGCATATATTATTTGATTTTTTTGGCTGGCAGTAAAACCAAAATTAAGTTTTTCTTCCTACATTAATACCAGAGAAACATTTATGTACTAAGATTAATAATAGTGCTCTGAAGGTATAGAAATTAAATCTTCGCAAACAGCCAGAGAACAAGGAGCTCCACATTTTCTAAATTCTGCTTCATCCTTTCCCCATCTGACCCACTGTCCATCTGTAACTAACACGTTGCTGAAGTGTGTGTCATCATTCCCTTCAAGTTTACAAACAAGCTTTGGTAGAAATGAAGGTATTGGACCTACCTGAAGGCCAGAGGGCCTGCTCACCCCTCTCTGACTCTTTGCCGTTAAGCCAGGTATTTAAATCAGCACTTGGGGCAGATTCACTCACTGCCTACTGTGACTGCAGCGAGCAGAAGGCTGGTGGCCAAGAGAGTGTGTATGGTGCCTACAGATGTTCTAGTGAACACAGATCTAACGGGAGTAACTGACTGTGACCTTTTTTATTTTTCCTCTTTGATGGCTGAGAGAGCTATGCACCAGAGTGTAACTCAAGATTTAACTATTTCATTACTGACAGCAGTGGAAATACAATTTACTATTTATTTGTAAAGCCCTCCCCCAACCCCAAAACCAAAACCAAAACCAAAAACACACCAAAAAAACAAAGGTCCGGTTGAAACCTGATTTATTAAAATTAAAAAATATTTTAAAAAATGAATATAGTTATTCTGGTTTAAATAAATATTTATTGTGAAATCAAATATTTATGTGAATCAAATGAGAAATTACTTGCCCTAAAGCAAAGAACATTAGTACCAGTGCTAGTCATGTTAACTTTGTTTTTTTAAACTAGTTTTAAAAATTAATATATGTTTGTGATACATAACAATTAAATTCATCTTGGGGAATTAGTACCTGTACATATTGCATCTTGATCTTTTCTACTTCCCCTTTAAATTGAAGTGCTCATCTATGGTATTATTTTCTTTAATGCAGACTCAGAAGGCAGGAATTGTAATTGTTGGAGGGTCTCTACCAACTTCATGCCAGGTAGCTACAGTGTGTGATACTGTACAGTGTAATGATTAAGAAAAGGGAGTTTGGGGCCCAGCTGGCCTGGTTTCCTTTGCCAGCCCTGTCATTGTCCAGGTGGAGTCCCTAACCCTCAGCCTTGTTTCTCCATGTCTGAAATGGAGATACAGAAATATTTATCTTGAATGATCGGTAGGAGAATGTGAAATGAGATAACAAATGTAAAGTCCTCAGCCAAGGAAGACATTAAAATTCCACAGTTATCTTGTTAGCAAAACTACATTATAATTTTTAATAGTTTGCATGTGTAACACAGTTTCTCTAACCACCCACTGTTGCTGGTTATTTAAATCAGTGCTCATGTGGCTTAGATGATAGAATGTTGTGATACAGGCATGCAAATCTGGGTGTGAGTTTCAGTTCTACCACTCAGTAGATGAAGGGCCTTTTTGAGCTTTCATATTCTTATCTTTAAGGTGAGGAATATCCTTATATCATTCTAAGGACTTATGGAAATAAAATGTCTGGTAAAATGAATATACACAAGAAATCTTGCCTAATGATGATAATGTTATAGATATGCATGAATAAATGACTTTCATTTTTTTTTTTTTTGGTACTGGGCATCGAACTTGGGACCTTGTGCTTGCGAGGCAGGCGGTGGAACCACTGAGCTAAATCCCTGACCCTGACTATTTCACTTTTAAAGATACATTTTCAGGGTTAACTTTTTGAAAAATAGATGTGTAGCTTGTTGAATTTCATTTGGAATATTGGTCTGTCTTTTTAAAAAGAACCATCAATTCCTCTAGTTACTTCCATGATGATTTTTATCTGTCTGCAAAAGGATATTTGTAATTTCCCTGACCTATTAATATTATTCTATAATGATGGTGACCTTAAAATTACTGCAATAATGACAGTGCTCATAAAGTTGGTGCATTGGGTATCTACAGAAAATACAAAATAGAAACCATGGTTAGTTTAGGAAAGTGTTTTAGCCTTTAGGTTTTACAGACATCAAAAATTAGGTAATTTGTAGCATAGCAGTTAGTTGCTGAATTGGTAAATTGTCTCCCAAGGGGATTGGATATTAGTACCATAGTCCTTCTCCTTTATCTCTGGGTTCACTTTCCTTGGTTTCAGTTGCCTGTAAAGTCAGATGTGTTCTGAA